GTTAAATATTGCCCAGTTTGAAGCCAACATTACCAAATTTTATGCATAAATAAAAATTTCTACCCACATTGATGTGAAAATCCCGCCTACTTTGAAGTACAAGTTAATTAAAATTACCATAATGATGATTAAATTTATTATGCTACAAAACATTGTTTTTGATAATAATACAATGCAATAATAATAAATGTATGTGCATGTGCAGTACAAAATAATAACAATAAATAATAATAATAATTACAAAAATATAATATAAATGAATGAAAGAAAGAACAAAAATAATTTAAATATGCATAAATTAATAATAAGAAAAAATTGATAAAGACAAAATTTACAGTTACATCGTGAACATCATTCAAATGTTATCTAACAAGATCAATAATGGTACGCAATTGTCCCTTTCCCTCTTTCAAAGTTTATAACTTGATATACTGCCTCTTTCACCACTGTCCTATAGGAGACAATAATAATGTTTACATGTACAGAACAAGTGTCACAGTACATCAACATAAATACCAGAACATAGAGATACACTGTAAATGTATTAGTATTATAACAGTAAAGAGAGAGAGAGAGAGAGAGAGAGAGAGATAATTTACTGATTTTGTAGAGGCAAGGCTAGTCAAACTTGCACTTTTCTGGAAAAATAACAAAAATAATAAATAATTAAATAAATTTAAAGTACCTTTGAGAAAAACCCTAAGAATCCTTTCTTGGAGTCTCTGGGAGTGGGCGGGGTCGAAGGGCCCCAGGTACTATCACTGTTGTTTCTCCCGCGAGCCCTACGAGTTAAAGTTGGAGACTCAAAGTCCTAAAGAGGAAGGAGATCAAATAGAGAGAGAGGATTATCATCTTTGGTGCTTTAGTGTCACCAGTACATGTACCAAACAATCTTAACTTAAATGAACTGATCAAATAGAAAAACTTAGCAATTTGCCGAAAATTCACTATCAAAAGTACTGTATTTAATTATGACTAAAATACTTATTTACTTTATTTATTTATTATTATTATTATTATTATTATTGTTAACCTGGTGAGATTCATATCCAGACTCGTGTCTATGTCCCCGTTGTTGACTCCTCCCATCTCTCCTCTCCTCGTCCTGACTGTCCCCACTGGGTGACCTGTGTCTACTGTGATACAATGGACGCTCCTTTGACCGGGACTGATGGTATCTGGAATATAACGAGAATACATTAAAAGGTTTTCAATACATGTACATGCACTTATGTTGTGTGGAAAGTTTGAGCTAATCCCAATCAGGTTTGGATTTAGAAATTTTTTTGAAGTTTCTTAAAAATCCGACACAAGTTCCTGTACTATAGTACAGGGTCTCTGGCCAAATTTTGCCAAAAATAAAAAAGTGAGATTCCCTCAATTTTATTACATTTTCTGCTACACATACATGTTCTTA